ATCTGTTTTACTAAACAAAATCAAACTAAAATTTAACAAAATCTCAAAGAATTTGCAAAATATCACGAGAGTTTGTAACAGAACGATGAAATTTCACGAGATTTTGAAAGTAAAATAGATCGATACCGCGTTTTTAAAAATCGATTTGATATCAGCATATGAAAATATATTTGAGTATATTATTTTTCAAAGTGTCAGAAATTGATAACAAAACTGCTATTTTCAATGACTACTTATTTTTGTCCAGCTTTAATATCAATATCGATATCGGTTATCGGCTACATGAGTTTTAAAATATCGGCATATCGGATATCGGGCAAAATCCCAATATCGTGCATCCCTACTGTTATGGTCTGTTTCAACTTTATCACGGAAACGCAGAGAAGAGGATTGCATATTGTGTGATTAAAAAATGGGATATCATAAAAGCAAACACTAACTACACTTACCAATACAGAGTGGGTTTACATAAAGTGATCATTGTGGTAAGAGCCTGTCTTTGAAAATGGATCGCATGCATGCATCATACGTTGTTATTTCTTTTGCAATGGGATCCGAAGTGACACGATACTTGTCATTATACTTGGGTCACAATATATATCACTATCTATTGCGATATTTTTCCCAGCTATCAAAATTAAATCTAGAAATAAAAAAGCCAGTGTGTTGTGTATGTTCATCAGAAGATTCTGATCATTTATTTATTTTGGCATACATTTTGTCCGGGGTGTGAGTCAGTTCACGTCTTCCACTGTGACTGCCTGAACTACAGATATGGCACTGAGCCGCAAAAGGACAGCTATATCAGCCAGAGTAGCAGTGCAGAGGCAGCCCATTTTCTGTCACTGTTTTTTTATTTTTTTTATCGATACTAGGAACTAAAAGAGCGATATATTATATCAGGTAGCCGAAAATCAAGGTATATTGCTAAATTTTTATTTTTTTTCCCCCCACACCGCTAGCTGTAAAGCCTGTTATTTGGAATGGTTTACCAACAAATGTGGTTTCCATAAAGGAACATTTTACAGCACTTTATGCAATACACTGTATTAAGGTTGGGCGATATATAGTTTTCCATCTGATATTCGTCAGTCCATCAAATGGTGATAGACGTTATATTCGTGCCGGTGACTTTGTGAGCAAAGGGAAGCACATCTTCTGCATCGCTGGTAATATTATCTCCACTGCTACAACCCAATACTGTGCAAATGTTTGTTTTCTTTTGTCCAGTGGGAAGAGTTTCCTTTTTTCCTGTTCTGATATATTATGATACATTATAGCTTTTTTTTTTTTTTATCATTATTCATCTTTCTGAATGTGCAAAATCACACAGACTTAAAAAATGGGTGGATAATGGTTGATATTTTCCATACAGCCCTGTCATGGTCACACTCGGCCCATATTTCTGGACTCCCCTATTCATTTAAAGGGTGTTAGGACTTTGCAATTCTCTCTCGCAATGGATCAGGAGGTTAATATTGATGGGTTGAATTAAAATCTCTTGGTAATCAGGACAAAAATGAAGTATATTGTAAATTCGTAATTTACGCTTTAGTGCCATCTAGTGGTTCAAACCACATGTTTCATTCTGAAGAATGAGGCTTTCTCCTGTCTTTCTGTGTTGATGTACAAGAAATGGATTTATTTTCATTTTATAACAGTTAAATATATGTGTTCAATGCATTTGGAAATGTGCATATTTGGGATAAATATGCAGGAGAAAAAATTTACAGAAAGTAAGGCCTAATTTATGAAGTGAAAGAAAAATTATTCTTGGTTTTCTCCTGTTTTCTGAACTAAAGGTGTGATATTTAATCTAAAACAGAACATAAATGACATTTTCTTATCATTCTAAAAATGTACTTTCTGCAGTGACTCTACACTATTGATTTAGTGAGAATAATCAGTTGCTCTTTCTGCTGTGTTTGCAGTCCTGCGAAGACCTTTACGTGGTGCAGCCTCAGACGAAGCAAGCGACAGTGAGGAGGAGCTGGCTGCATTTTGTCCAAAAGTAAATCTGTTAGCCTTCCAGACCTTCTCAGTTTTACTATTGAAACTAGTGAACAGGAACAAATACGTAGTTTCTGCTTTATGTGCTCAGATATTTGTTTGCTTTTGATTAACATCAATATACTTAAAAGAAAAATGCAGAAAACATGTTTTTACCTTCTTCTTTATCTGTTTAAACTACATACTGTTAAGTATTTATAACAAACAGGAATTGAAAGTGACAGTTTATTAGGATTGTTACTTGTAACTAAGTAATTCACATTGAAAAGTATTTATCTCCTTTTCCTGTCTCCTCCAGTTTGATGATGCTGATGCTGCCAAAGAACTTGCACTGACTGATTCAGAGCACTCTGATGCTGAGGTGTCCTATACAGACAATGGAACCTTTAATCTTTCCCGGGGTCAGACCCCGCTTACAGAGGGCTCTGAAGGTACGCTTTCAGTTTTCATTCTATCTCGTCAATCCATTTTCTTTCCTCTCATTTCTTTTGGTCTCGTTTTCTCTTAGACCTTGACAGACACAGTGATGCTGAGGAATCTTTTGCTCAAGATCTCCCAGACTTCCCGTCCATAAACCCTGACGCCACTTTAATGGATGATGACGACGACACAAGCATTGGGCTTCCCAGTCTGGGCCCGTCTGGCCTGGGGAGTCATCGCGCCTCGGTGTTAGACGTGGATGCACATCTGGACTCCGACCAGGAGGAACTGGATGCAGAACTCTCCCTCAGCGGCCTCCCATCCGCCTCAGATTTCAGTGGAGAGTTGGCCGGAGCGATTGCCAGCAACATGATCCAGGCGGCGATCGCCGGGGCGTTGCAGCCTCGGCCTCCTCCCGCCCAGCGGAGACAAGCCCACCCTAGATCTGTGTCCCACAGAAGCTACCGCAAACAGTCCAGCTCTGAGTTTGACACGGACTTAGACGCAGAAGACTTTGAAATGCTGGACCAGTCTGAACTGAACCAGATGGATCCGTTTGGAGGAGGGGGGGCAAGACGAGGCGAGAGTCAGGGTTCTAATTTCTTAGCGAGCCTTCTTGGTAAACCACAGTGAAGAGCGTGTGCTGCTGTGTGTGTGCGATAGTCTAAAATTGACCAGCATAGAAAACAACTTTAGTTCCAGCTGTCCTGCTTCTGGTAGGCAAATATTTCTCACTGTGAAGTATTATATATTTTTCCCATTTTTATTTACCATTCCTGGTCTACTCTGATCAGCGAGAACTTATTTAATTTGTAGGCTGAGCAATAGGAAATACAACCACAAAATAAAACACAGTGTGACATTTGATAAAGTAGCAATATCAAAGTCAAAAATTATACTCTTAAAAACCTACAGGAGTGCCCATTAAATCTTTTCTACTTTTAATTCAAGACAAACAGGGCTATTTAACATAGGACCAAATATGACATTCCTGTTGCTTGAGCTGTGCCATGTTTGACACTGATATTCTGGAAAACATTCAATATTCAAGATTATTTCATTATTCTGTCTTTTAAGAGAAGATATTTCATTTTAGCTTCTTAACAGGACTTTATTATAGGAGGTGAATTTGTCTGATTTCTGCAAGTTTTCAGAGCTTTACTTGGGTTTTTAAACTCTTGCTTTCCTACTGATGCTGTAGAACACATCTTTATTTGTTTTTGTTTTTTTTATCCCAGACTAAAGTCTTAAAGAGAGAAAAGTATTTCTTTTAATTAACTAGGATTTTTTTTCAAATGCAAAAGAGATCCGTGATTAAATCCCCAATTGTTTTTATCTCCCTTCCCCTCTGAATAACCCTTCTAAACATGCAAGGGTAATATATTACATCTTGTCCTTGTATGTTCATTTGGAAATATGTTTACATCAAAATTGTATAAAGATTGAGCTCATATTTTTTAAAACTTTGGTACATCGAGGTTTAAAGTGATATTCGTAAAGATCTGTCTGATTTATCTGTGTGTTGGGGAAAATATGGCACTTTAAACCTGAAAAACTCACAGGGATTTATTTAATCTTAATTGCTGTTTATTGGTTAAAACAAAAAGCAGTTTCTTTTATTTTTAAAAGATTAATCTTATCTGAAACATTTTTTGTGCTTCAAACAAAAAACAGCTGGATCCTAATTTGAGTAACTGAAGTAGAAAATGAATGCACTGATGGATAGCAAGGAGGATTTTGGGGGGTTTGTTAGACTTGGGTTTTAATTTTTCTCCAAGCTGCTCTATGAAAAGGTAAATCTTCAGTTTTAAGTGTTCTCTAGTCTGCTAAGTTAATGTGCATAGAATTGTATTTTCTCTGTATCTGGTTTTGATATATTTTGAAGTGCAACATACATTGAATAAAATGTTTGGAAATACATTTATCTTCTGAATTATTATACACAATATACTAATGAATATCAATAAAGGTGGAAAGGGTTTTAAATCCACTGGTAGACATGATCACATGTATGCATACAAACACATTTACTGATGGAGAAATTTTCTACTAGTAGTTTTATTTTTGTCTGACAGTAAAAAATTTAGTCTCTAGTGTCTTATGTTTTTTATATATATATTTATTACATATTTCTCATGTTTTGTTAAATGTAATATCACTTTATGTCTGCAATATCAAAGAAAGTGTGGAGCGTTGATTGGATTAAACTATTACTCCAGGGGGCGCTGTTGCCAAAGTACATCAGCTTTGAGATCACCTGTGACAGGATGTCTCACGACTTTTTATTTTCTTTTTACCTATTAAACGCTTAACAGACGGACCCAACAAGTAACACATTTTGGTGGAAAACATTGTTCGGTACACAATCAAAATGTCACGGTATATTCACATAAGTCTTTCACAGAACATTTTAAACTAGCGGACTGAGTTGAAAATAAGTTTGTAGTGATACATCTGTTTAAATAGTTAATCTTTTCTATGACGCAGTTTTTCCGCGAAACTTAAGCTGGGAAGCTAAAGTGAGCCCGAAAATGAGCAAAAAGGATAACGGTAAGGTTAAATAAACTACGTTATTCGGTCGTAGTTAATTTTAATTCAAGACAGCTATGTGTTTGGAGTTTAACGTGTTGGTATTTGACAGGAAGTAGAGTTAAAAGCGCAGCAAAGTTAGGATTAGACCGATGCTAGCTAACATGGATACGCTTCTTGCTAACATAGACAGCAGAGTTTAATGATTGTCTTTGATATACAGATACATGTCATATGAAATAAGGTGGAGCAAAATTCCTACTGTAAACGTGCTGTAAATCTACTATGATGGTATTGCCTTAAAATCAACTTTCTTTGCTTTTGTCATCACAGGAGCGTCTGTGATCCTGGCTTATCTAAATGAAAAGAACCGTCCTTACAGCGCTCAGGATGTCTTCTGTAATTTACAGAAGCAGCATGGGTTGGGAAAAACTGTGAGATCTGCTCTTCATTCATTCTTTCCTTATTCGGATCATTTTGGATCATGCTGATTATACGGAAGATGATTAAAGCCACTGGGGAGGAAAAACAGTGAACTGATTTTTAAACATTATTTCAGTTTAATATGGGAAAAAAGTCACAATTCTGACTTTAGTCTCAGAATTCT